ATAGAAATCTCCAGAAAAGAAGGGGAAAGAGAGAAAAAAGAAGACCTTAAGGAGAATTAAATGCAAGTGAAACAAGAGAAAGAAAAAATAATGAAGGAAAAGGACATAGAAAATGATAATTTATTTATGCACTCATCAAATAATAGTGTTAACTATTACAAGACACTTTGCTGGAGACTGTGGGGTCATACACAGACAGGTCAGACACAGATTAAAAAAAATAGCATACATATGACAATCCTTCTGTATACATTCAACATAATATCTGCATTAATAGAGCATAACAAAATTGAGATAACATGCTCGCCAACAATTAAAACAATGAAGGGAAATAGGAATCATTTGAGAGGTACAGAGTTCAAGAGGAACCCCCAAAAAACCCATGAATTTATTTATAAAAAAATTTATTCTTACGTGTTTAAACTTTAGTCACCTTCAAAATACTCTCTGTTTGATGCAAAATACCTACTGAGATGCTTTTTCAACTAGTTGAAAATAGTTTTTGAATTTGAATTTGTCACCGTTGATGCGTTTTAGTGCTTCCGCCACTTTTTGTTTCACCTTTTCCACACTGGCAAAACATTTACTTTCTAGAACTTTTTTCATCCGGGGAAACAAAAAAAAGTTGTTCAGAGTAAGATCAGGTGAATAGGGAGGGTAGGGCAGGGTCATGCTGTTTTTGGTCAAAAACTGCTGAACACTCAGTGTGGTGTGGGCAGGTATACTTGCAAATCGCCCATCATAAAATTGGCAAATGAGTTGAAACAATCTCCAAAAAACATTCACTGAAGCCAAATGCAGCTTCTCACAATGCAGCATCTCACAACAATGTTAGCTGGTACATGATGCCAATGGATTCCTAGAACACTTGTCTAGTGGGGGAAGCCTGTATTACAAGGGGCCCACCCTCCAAAAAATAATTCTGGGGTTTTTTGGGTTCCCCCTTATAAGTGCAAAGTGAGTTGACAGGAAGAAGGAGTTATTTCTGGCTGAAGGGATGAAGAGAGGAGTTTTAAGAAAGAAGTGGGTGCTCACACCAGGCTAAGGGGTTGAATCTTTTCCCAAAATGCCAGACTTATACTTGCAGCTGTTTACTGGTTCTCTCTCCCAAGGTGACTCAAAGGTCCCTCACACTCTGCATCCACAAGCAATCTGGTCACCCACCATCTCTTCCCCTTGTGTTTCTTGGTCAAGTCAATAGGTTAATATTCATTCCAAAGTTCATCTATTCAATCAATGTTCATAGAGTATTTGGTATATATAGGCACTCGGTATAATAAAAGACACAGGCATTAGATAAGTAAACATAAAAATATAAAAGTACAGGAAAAGTGAAGAAAAATGGTACTTGTGAGAGACAAACGTGTGAAAGGGGTGTTTAGACTGGGTTTAGACCTCTTGGAAGAAATGATATTTAAACTGAGAACCGATGGATGAATGGGGTCCAGGAAGGTTTGTAGTTCAAGGAGAGGTTCCCAGGAGAGCGAACAGCTTGGGCAAGCAGGGAGGGAAGGATTTAGCAAATTAGAACTTCAGTTCTCTGTAACTACAGTGAAAGGACATAACATGGAGTCAATATGCCCAATAAGCAGTCATTTTAACGTTGCTTAGCTTTGTCATATTTTTTTAGCAGTAATCAATCACTAGCCAAGGACAGAATCGGTTTCTCAGAGCTAGCTATTGATAATTGCTTTACAACCCCCTTCCCAGCTTGTTTTGTACTAATTAGCTAAGTATTTGCCTCCACTCATAAGACCCATTAACCTAAGCAGCTCTTGGTAACCTTGATGACACAGACAGACCCCATGAACACAGCAACAATCACGTGACTACATTCATCTGCCTGCTGTCCATCACCTGATGTCAGTACCTTCCAGCAGACCACCTTCCAATACCTTTCAGCAAACCACCACCCAATACCTTAACAACCTGCCCCCACCAAAGGGAAAGTTTAAAAGGATTCAACCTAAAGCAGCCACTTGCCATTGCTTTGTTAAACTCTGGTGTGTTCACTTGGCTCTTGGAGCTATGGCTGCCATGTTTCCTAGCTTTGGCCCCCTTCCCTACCTTGGGGAGGTGAATCTCCTCTCTCTAATTTACTTTCTAAATAAACTATATTTCTCAATCTAACTTCTGTGCAATTATTCGCATGTTTCACGCAGCACCGGATTGCACACACACCCCATTGGGCCCGGCCTAACGTTTGAGAGGCCCTACTGGGATTTTTTTTTTTTTTTTGAGTTGGCGTCTCACTCTGTTGCCCAGACTGGAGTGCAGTGGCTGCTGCCGGCCACCACAGCCTCGACCTGCTGAGCTCCAGCGATCCTTCCACCTCAGCCTTCCAAGTAGCTGGAACTACAGGCATGCACTACCACACCCGGCTAATTTTTTGATTTATTGTAGAGATGAGGTCTCACCAAGTTGCCCAGGTGGGTCTCGAACCCGCGGGCTCAGGCAATCCACTCACCTCAGCCTCCCAAGGCGCGGGATTACAGGCTGAGCCACTGAGCCCGGCCCTACTGGGATTTTTAACCTAACATGCAGCAAGGAAAAAATGGGGTAACTATGGTGGGAAATGAAACTAGAGAGGTAACCAGGACTTAGCAGTTTCTGTTGCAAATTCTGAATTGTATTCTAAGTACAATAAAGCCACCAAAGAGGAAATAGCAATGAAAACACAAGTGCCATACCTGCCCTTGTGGGACATAAGCCTGGTGAGGGAAATAACTAATTTCAGTCCATGTCCTAAGCGTTAGGATAAACAACATATTGAGTGCTGTGAGAGCATGGAGGAGGGGAGCGTAGGCCAGAATGAAAGAAGTATGAGCAATCTTCACTTGGACCACTGCAATAGATTCTTAATCAGTTATGCAGAAATCAGTGTCTACCTTCTGCTCTATCTTTCATGCTGCTGTCTGTCATCTTTCCTTAACACAAATGAAAGCATGTCAGCTCAAAACCATCCATGGCTTCTCAGGGGATAAATTCCAAACTTCTTGCTCTTATGTCATGGTCTGACCCTAACCTTTATCTTCTTGGTTTAAATTCCTACTACCCATCACAGTGGTTTTCAAAATTACTTTGACTCAACCCATATTAAGAAATACATTTCCTTGTATAAACACATAAATCCACATAAAACACTAAGAAAAAAAAAAAGCTTCGAGAAACAATTCAGGCCGGGCACAGTGGTCTCAACACTTTGTCCATCACCTGATGTCTCAGCACTTTGGGAGGCACACCTGTAGTCTCAGCACTTTGGGAGGCAGAGGTGAGGAGTTTGCTTGAGCCCAGGAGTTCGAGAGCAGCCTGGGCAACTTGGTAAGACCTCATCTCTACAATAAGTTTAAAAAAAAACAAAATAGTTAGCAGGGCATAGTGGCATGCACCTGTAGTTCCAGCTACTTCAAAGTCTGAGGTGGAAAGATTGCCTGAGTCTAGCAGGTCGAGGCTGTGGTGGCTATAAGCATGCTACTGCACTCCAGCCTGGGTGACAGAGTGAGACTTCAACTGAAAAAAAAAAAAAAGGAAAGAAAGAAAAAAGAAAAGAAACAATTCAAGTAGGATTACTCTTGATCTTTCTATTCTATGGTATTTCTCTTTGAATGTTATTTGTAATTTATTCATGAACTGCTAATGGGTCCTGGTCTGCAGTTTGTTTGTATTTATTTATTTATTTATTTTTGAGTTGGAGTCGCACTCTGTCACCCAGGCTGGAGTGAAGTGGCACACTCACCACAACTGCAGGTTTGACCTGCTGGACTAGAGTGATCCTTCTGCCTCAGCCTTCCAAGCAGCCAGACTTACAAACACGTGCTACCATGCCCAGCTAATTTTTTATTTTATTTTAATTTATTGTAGAGATGAGGTCTCGCCAAGTTGCCTCAGCTGGTCTTGAACCAACAGGCTCAGGCAATCCACTTGCCTTGGCTTCCCAAAGTGCTGGGACTACAGGATGAGCCACTGAGCCCGGCCAAGTCTGCAGTTCAAAAATCACTGATTGCTCCCTCCATTACTACCTTTTCCTCTTAGCTCTCAGCAAACTCTGTTCTTTCACCATTTCCCCCAGCCCTCTCTTCTTCATTGTTCCTGCACATAGCTAGTTCTTACTCATCTCACAAGATGCAGCTGAAATGTTCCTTCCTCAAGAAACTTTTCTAGAGACTGCTTCATTTGCCATGCTTCCATCTTCAGAGAGTGTATTATTATTATTATTTTTAACAAGTCAGTCTTCTCTGGACTACGTTTCTGGATGTCAGCAATAGCTGGGGTTTTTTGTTTGTTTTGTTTTGTTTTTATCTCAGGTCCAAAATAGGGTCTAACCTGAAAGGAAAGGTCAGGGGATATCATGCTGAATACACGAAAACTGACCTCATCTTGCACTACTGTCCCTATATTCTTACCATCTTAGTTGTGTATTAGATCTACTCAACTTCTATTTCCCAAACACACCAGTCTTTTTTCTCCCAGCGCCAACCTGTGCCACTCTTCCTCCAGCCATTTTCATGGTGGGATGGTCTTACTTTATCTTCAGATCAAGTCTACTCACAGGGAAGCTGTCTGCCCAAGCTCCATCACATTTCCTTTACTTATGACATTTATTCCTCTTGGAAATTATTTTGTTTTCTGATTGTCTGTTTCTTATTTGTCTCCCATATTAGAATTTTAGATCTTTAAGGGAACTATCTACGGAGTAGATAACTTCAGCATAACTCCAGTAACCAGATAACTCCATAACCATAACCAGAACTCCAGTAACTTCAGCAACTAGAATAGTGTGTAACACGTAGCAGGCCCTCAAAAATCGCCTGGTGACGAATGTGTAAGTGGGAGAGCAGGCAGACAAGGCTACAAGAGTCTTAGGGACCTGTCTCGAAGCCGCTTTGAGGGTTCCCCGATAGAGTCAGGGGCCACGGCTGACACAGGGCACACAAGCCCAGACCCCTACCTGGGGGAGAGGGAGGGATTCGAGGCGCCCAGGTGCACGTTCCAGGGCCTACCAGTAATAAGTGACTGTGCAGGCCGCGCACACCCGCTCGGCCGGGGCGTCGCACACCTCGCAGCAGAGTCGGCGACCCTTGGGTACCGCCAGTGGGTAGATCACGTTCATGCTGCAGCCAGCGGTGTTGGTCTCTAGGACGGTTGCCAGGCGAGCATTCGGGGAGCCCTGGCGTCACGTGACGATGGCAGGACCACTTCCTTCCCGGTATTTCAAGGTCAGGGGAGAGACGTGGCTGGACTGACAGCTGGGGCCTATTTTGGGATTTAAATTAAAAAAGAAGAAGCACAAAACCCGCAAATCACAAAGGTCAAATGGCCAAGCAACTGGATTCCAGTGGACTCCGAGTCCAGGACCGTCTCTACGGCGACCGGTAAGGGTCAAACATGGCCAGTTTGCCGAGGCTAGGAAACTAACGTGAGGAAATGAGATTCTTTTAGATGCTCACCCCGCCGAGAATGCCCCTCAGCGCAGTGTCACTTTCGCTGAGCTCTGGGGATGAACCACCACGCATTCCCGGACTCGGAGAGATCGAGCCCAGAGCCCAGACAAGGGCAACGAATCGCCACTCACCATGGGCGGCTGGCCGACCTCGGCCCTGGGGAAAGGGGCGTGGCGCCGGCGGCACCGAAGCGCGCGCAGGCGCAGGAGCGCTGCGGGAACCAATGGCGGAAATGGACCTGGTCGCCGAGTTCCCGCAGCCTCCCGGTGCTGCGCGCTGGGCGGAGGTTATGGCTCGCTTCGCGGCCGGGCTGGGCGCACAGGGCCGGCGGGTGGTGTTGGTCACGTCAGGCGGCACGAAGGTCCCACTGGAAGCGCGGCCGGTGCGCTTCCTGGACAACTTCAGCAGCGGGCGGCGCGGCGCAACCTCGGCCGAGGCCTTCCTGGCGGCCGGCTACGGGGTCCTGTTTTTGTACCGCGCTCGCTCCGCCTTCCCTTATGCCCACCGCTTCCCACCCCAGACCTGGCTGTCGGCTCTGCGGCCTTCTGGCCCAGCCCATAAGGGTTTGCTGAGCCTGGAAGCCGAGGAGAATGCACTCCCGGGGTTCGCAACGGCTCTGCGGAGCTACCAGGAGGCTGCGGCTGCCGGCACCTTCCTGGCGGTAGAGTTCACCACTTTGGCGGACTATTTGCATCTCTTGCAGGCTGCAGCCCAGGCGCTCAACCCGCTAGGTGCGTGCCCTAGGAGTACATCTGTTGCCTGGAGGCCGAGCCTTTCTCCCCAGTCATTTATCCCCTTATCTCCTGCTTACCCTTGGGTCTCGGTTGGGGAACCCGAGTTAACAGGGAGCTTGTCTTATACCCCTCCCGATTTGTTACACGTTATGCTTCTCTTTGCAGGCCCTTCTGCGATGTTTTACCTGGCTGCGGCCGTGTCAGATTTCTATGTTCCTGTCTCTGAAATGCCTGAACACAAGATCCAGTCATCTGGGGGTCCACTGCAGGTGATGGGCGCTTCTCTTCCAGAGATCTGATCCCCTCTAACCAATCTTGGGTTAATATCCTCTTGATCTGGATATGGCCTTTCTGCATCTGTATGCGCTAGGCACTGGGGATACAGAGATGAATAAGACACCGCCCTCCCTCATGGACCTCACAACCTAGTGAGGGAGCTGGACACAGACATAATTGCAGTACAGAGTGATAAATGCTTTAGTGGAGGTATGTACAAAGTGCAGTCAGATCATGGGACGAGTGAATCTTAGGGGAGTCGATGAAGGCTTCCTGGAGGAGATGACTTGAATTGGGTGTAAAAGATAAGCAGAGAGTATACAAAGTGGGGAAGTTCGTTCCAGGGGAAGTTAGGCAGTTGGAGTTTGGAAATGGGTAGTAGGCTATGAACTGATGTGTTTTGGTAAGACTAGAGAGCAGACAAAAGAGACGGCTTGCTTTCATAGAAGGCATTGTATTCTTTTTTAAGGAGCTTGGGCTTTGTCTTGTGGAGCCAAGGGACACATAAGTAAGAGAATGAGATTAAGTTTTTGTTTGAGAAGAACATTCTGGCATCAGTGTGAAAGGTGAAGCAGACAGGGAGAGAGTGGAGTGGGTAGATTAGTTTGGGGTTATTGTTGTAATTTAAGGAAGCGACATGGAGAGGGTGGTTGTGATGTTGAGATGATCCGGCTTCTTGGAACCTGAGGGAGTTCTTATTTATTGGATGATATGGGTAGAATTTAAATAGGACAGACTGGGCTGGGTGCAGTGGCTCACACCTGTAATCCCAGCACTTTGGGAGGCCTAGGTGGGAGAATTCCTTGAGTCCAGCAGTTCAAGACCAGCCTGAGCAACATAGCGAGACCTTGTCTCTACAAAAAAATTTTTAAAAAATTAGACGGGCTTGGTGGCCTGCACCTGTAGTCCCAGCTACTTGGGAAGCTGAGGCAGAAGGACCACCTGAGAATTGAGACTGTGGTGAGCTGTGATTGTGCCACACCACTGCAATCGAACCTGGGTGACAGAGACTCTGACTCAAAAAAATAAAAAAGTTTTTAAAAGTGGGAGAAACTCTACCTGTAGGACACTTGCCAGCTTTGTAGAATAATTCATTTGTTCATTTCTCAAACAAATATTTCTTGAGTATCTACTATATGCCAAGCACTATTATAGGACCTGGAAATGAAAGCAGTGAAAAGAAACATACTGTGCTCTTGTGTTACTTCCTTTGTAGGGAGACAGTAAATAAGTCAAATACAGACTACATTTGGCAGTGATGAATGCTAAGGAGAAAAATAAAGTATAAACAAACTGGTATGTGATCCCTATCACGCTTACAATTTTTTTTTAGGAGAAATCCTGATGGTTAGCTTAGTGATTTCAGACTTTTAAAATTCTGAGATCTTTAGGTTATCCCATATGTTTTAATTCTATTTTGAAAGTAGCAAAACAACTCAACATTCCCCTTAGAAGGGATTGAGAATAGGGTAGTAGGAATTTTGATCAAGTGAAAATAAAATCAGTTCAGTTTCCTTACTGCTAAATTGTGTACAAGTGACAGTTTTACAGGAATCTAATAGCTATTCTACCAATGTAAGACATATTTTAGGATGAGCAATTTAAAAACTCAGCTTTATTTGGGCTTCTGTCAAAGTGCCATTTGCATAGACAGATTATTTGTATTTGTTTACCTGAGGGCTTGGTTCAAAAAATAAAGGGGAATGCTTGAGAAAATATTAATGGTGGCGAGGGTAGCAGAGCAAAACAGGTTCAGATGACGTGGTTTGCCCCAGATTATGTATAAAGCCTTAAATTTGGATATATATATATATAAATCCTATAGAGCCAAGGGATTTTAAACTAAGCATTTAATTGAAAAGTTTGACAGTGAGGAATCCCACTTAAATTTGATTCCTTAGTTTCCATAGTTTCCCATGAGATTGACCTGGCAGGTAGTGACTGTTTGCTTATTAAGCTTTTCTTTTTCCAATACAGATAACAATGAAGATGGTGCCAAAAATGCTTTCTCCTTTGGTTAAAGATTGGGCTCCCAAAGCATTTATAATTTCCTTTAAGTTGGAGACTGACCCCTCCATCGTAATTAATCGTGCTCGGAACGCTTTGGAAATTTATCATCATCAAGTGGTGGTGGCTAATATCCTTGAGTCACGACAGTCCTTTGTGGTTATTGTAACCAAAGACTCGGAAACCAAGTTATTGCTATCAGAGGAAGAAATAGAAAAAGGCATAGAGATAGAAGAGAAGATAGTGGATAATCTTCAGTCTCGACACACAGCTTTTATATGTGGCAAAAACTGAAGTAAACAGCCCTTATAGGATCAAAAATTGTTCAGGGCTCTTACAGATGGTGAGAGTTATTAATAAATCCTTTGCTTTCATAAGGACAGAGAAAATGGAGGAAAGGGAAAAATAGTGGTGTGCAGGCAATATGGTTTGGTATCACCTGACACCTGAATGTCATCTTGATTTTGAAATTGAACACTAGAGCTCTTTCTCACCTTTTTAAAAAAGAGCTTATTGGGAATTATATATTCCTCAAAATATGCTTGGGGGCCTGAATATCAGCCTTCTTCATACTATAAAAAGAGGATTATGGATGCATGAGTGGTCATGCTTTGAAGATTAAATATCTGTTGAGTGCCTACTATGTGTCGGGCCCTGTGCTGAGCTATGAGAATTAAAAAGATGAGTAAACATGTTCTGTTTGGGAAATGGATGTATGTGAAATTAAGTGCAATAAAGTATATACCCAAAAGCTGGCACAATGGAAAGGATGTTGTTTTTTGGAAATTTATCAAACATGGGAGTAGGGGAGAAGCATACCTCCTTGAAGATAGATTGTAGAATGGTGAGTTTCTCAACACGTCTATTTTTTGCTGCTGCTTCTAGATTCACTCCATATTTGAGTAACAATTCACCTTTCAAATATTTTAGGATTGCTTTTCAGGTAAATTTAACACAGCCTTCCACTTGGGACCAGGCAGGGGCCACATGGTGACCTTTGTCCTGAGGGAGACATTACAGTGTGGTAAAGAGTTTGGGCTTTGGAGTCAACTTAGCCATCTGTGTCATCTATTGGCTTTATAAACTTAGGTATGTGATTTAATGTTTCCTCCTCCATAAAATGGAAATAATAAATCTCACTGCAAAGTAATGCTTTGTTGTGAGGATTAAATAAAAACAGTGAACATAAAGCATTAGTCTGGTGCCTGGTAATTAACTCACACTCAGTAAATGATTGCAATTAGTAATTTTCTCACTTAGCAAGGCAGTGTTATTCCAGTGCCCTGTTTGATCTGTGAATCCTTGAGAAACTTTCAAAGTTCCTCTCACTGTCCTGGGTTTTGGTTTGGAAATCACAAGTAGCATAGTGCAAAACAAAATTCCCAAAATGATTTGTAGGAGAGTTCAGAGTACAATTTGAAAAACTAACATTAATAACTAGGTAGAAGCAGGTGCTGTGCTTCACATAAATATTTGATTTAAAATACAATGCATGGTATGTCATGGAGTTGGGAAGGGTAGCCCAATGTGACTGATAAGAGGTACAATAAATTTTAGTTGAGAAGATTTGAAGTGAAGTGCCAAGATACACTGAAATACTTCATTAAATCAGGAAGTGTGACCTTGAGCAGAGGAAAAATAACTAGCAGTCAAAACTGTTCTGGGAATAGCAGTCCCTTTGAACAAAGATTTTAAATGAACTTTAGGTACAATCTGCAAAACCTCAGAAGCAGTAGGCTTTGTCAGCAGCGGGTGAAGTACTGAAGGGGCAGGAATTTTCTTCCTTACATTCATACCTTCATGTGGATGATGACTTATCTTATAATGTACAGTGGGGATGAGTGGTGTTAAAACTAGAAGTGATCTTTGTTTTTTACCATAATCATTACTTCCCTTGGGAACCATTTCATATCCTGTTTGTTAATGTTTAAAAGTATCCATTATTTCATGGAATTATTTAAGGTGTTTTCCAATTCAGCTTAATTTCTCTTCAGAGCGCTTAAAAAGAGCATTTGCACAAATAAAAATGCCAGGAGTGTGTTTGTGTGTTTTAACAGCAAGTGGAAGAGTGTAAAGAAAGAAAAGGAAATGAATCAATGAGAGTAAAAAGGAATCTGATCTAGATTGGGGGATCAAGGAATGTTTCCCTGGAAGAGGTGATGTTTAATAAATATAGAGTTAAGTGGGCTACAGGTGGTGGTAGTCAGTATTTTAGATGACAGGAAAAACAAAAAACTAACGAGTCTGGTGCTAGAGGGACAAGTTGAAGCATTTCTAGAAGTAAAGGGTAAGATCCATCCAGATAATGCACATAGAACCAGCAAAGGTTTGGAAAGTACTATTTCCTCTTGGTGGACTAGAATAAGACCTCAAAAATGTTAAGTAGTGTTTGGGATTTCAGCAAAGGAAGGACCCCCCAAACATGAGTAAAATCCAGCTTTTTTTACTCAAATCTTGTAATAAGATCATCCAAAAAGATGGCACAAGTTGAGACCGTGTTAATTTTGTGTCATTTAGAAATTTTTATTTTGTATCATGTAGGTGGGAAATATGGTTCACCTATACCTAATTTTCAGTGCTACCAAAGGGCTTAAGCCTTAGGAATAAGTCTGGTCAAGCCCAGTTTCTTCATTTTTTACAATAATAAGCTAGGTCCAAAAATGTAACTTATTTGAAGTACCCCACGTGGTGAGTGACAGACATAGGCCTAAAATTCAGAACATCTGACCTGTCATCCCGCCTCTTTAAGGATGAAGTAACGTCTAGAAAAATAAATCTAAGGTTAATAGCCTGGAGCTGTATATAAGGCCTGGCGGGAAGCCCTTGCTAACTGGAGGGCCGGTAACGAAGCGCAGCCTCTCCATTGTAAGCGCTAGCTCTAACGTAACCATGGTGATGTTGTCTCCAAAGCCAATGGAATGAGGCGTACTATCAATACAGCCGGAACGACTCCACCCCCGCGATCTTAAGGCCAATGGTGTAAGCCTTAACAATGGTCTCCAAAAGAACAGTCGCGGTCGCCAGTGGCGTGCGACGTATCTAAGGTTCCCGCCGGAAGAGCGCCTTTACGTCTCCGCGGCGAGCGCGGTTACTATGACACCCGGATCTCCGTAGGCACCTGCTGCTGGCGGCTGAGCTTTCGGAAGCCGCGCGTCCTCGGGCCCTCGCGACGTCCTCCTAAGGAAATTTCCTGCCCGGTTCCTGAAGTTCCTGCCTCAGCCCCAAGGAGGAAAGCACTCGTCCTCCCCTGTTTTCTGCAGTCCAGGTCTTTTCCGCTTCTCTCCCCAGTATGGCCCGAAACTACAAGAGGAGAGAGAGCCGCTCCTGGACCTTCCTTTCTAGTCCCGGTTTGGGGCTGGAGTGATTATGCCTAAAGATGGATTAGTCGGCGTCCCTGGACCCAGCTGCCAAAGGCATTTAGTATCAGGCTGTTGCTCCTAATAAGAGCGGACTTTGAACACCCTCAGTGAGTTAGGTAGGCGCGCCTTTTCTCACTTTGTAGGCAGAGTCTCGAGACGCACCCCTGGACCCCCTGCGCCCAAGGTCCAGGACGCTACAAAGTCCTCGGAGGCAAGCTTTCCCGAACTTGCAGGCCCGCGAACAAAGAACCACCATTGTTTGGCCGATGTTCGTCTTGCAGAACCTTGCTTGAATCCTGATGGAGCTTTGAAGGCCTTTTGTATCCTCACCATCAGAGGGCATCAAGTCAGTTTCCTTCTGCCTTTCGAGCCACAACCTTATCCACTTCTCTCATCATTTCCAGCACCAGTGTTCTCATCCTGCTTATTCCACAGCCATTTTAACCTGTCCCTGTCCACGCTGCACATCACTGAATGTTTATTCTTCGTCTCCTTCACCTCTTCATGTGTAGGCCACCTCCTTCTGCTTTCCTGCTGCAATGCTTTGTTTCTCTAAGTATTCTACATTCTCCAAGCCTCCAATCGTTGGGAAGATTTTCTCTTTCTCTGCACTATGGCAAGCTATCAATCTTGGGTGAACTAGAGACTAGAAAGAATGGAGAAGTGCATATTGGTAAATATAAACATTAAATTACTGCAAACCTAATGTGTTTTTGAAAATGGAGAAAATATCAAAATTGCAGCCTATTTCAAATTATATAATGAAAGAAGTTTGTTTCTTGTGTAATTAAGTGAATACTGTGTTAGGCATAAATTTTAGTGATGTGTTTATACATGTGAAAAGATAATTCAAAATGATCGTGTTTGAGAGTTTCAAGCTTAAGCCATATAAACCCAACTTCTGGGGATATGATAGATTTTCTGGAGAGGTGATGCTTGAAATAGCTCTTATGCCTTCTTTTCCTGTCGGTTTCTGAATCAGAAAGCATTGTGATGTGTGAGCCAAGAAGCAAAAACAAGGAAGAGAAGTAATTGAAAGTAAATATTTCTGTCAAGGGAGCAGTCATAATGTCCTAAAAAGACTGAACAGAGGGCCTTAACTATAGAATAAGATTAATTAAGATCCAGTGCAATTTTATTTTAGCTTGGACAGCTTGATTTAATTTGCCTTACAACATACATTCCTTGTTGAGTCTTACTATTTCTTCTTCGGTATTCAAGTTTCAAGATAAACCTATTTGAGGATACACAAAGTATATGTTTTTAACAAGTATTTTGGAGGTTATAATCATTTGGGTATTTAGTTTTCCCCGGCCAATTGAAACAGCTATTTGTGGTGTCTCACTCTTAGAGCCAGATTAGGTTTCCAATTACTGAGAAATTCCATTTTCTCTTCTATAATAGATTGGAAAAGAAAAACAAGTTCTGCAGCTCCTTCAGTTTTGCACTTTAAATGGGAACTGATAAATTCTAACTTGAAAAAAGAGGATGATGGATGCTATATTGTAAGGGGCTTTCCTTTTTTTTTCAAATATGTATTTATTAAATAAACATTGTTATAGCAAGATTAATTTAAAAACTTTTTCTTCTTGCCCTAGCACAATTCTAAGCCTGGGGGAGGAAGAGCCGTTTCACCTCCAGAGAGGCATTTGGCCGTGTATGAAAAGATTTGTAATTGTCACAACTGGGGATATGCTACTTACATCTAGCTGTGCACTGAATAGTCCCCACCACAGTGATCCAGCCCAGATTGTCAGTTGTGCTGAGGTTGAGAAACTCTGTCCTAACCTATCAGCAGTTTATTTTTTGGTTCTTCGTCAGTCCTTGCTCACATGTGTACATTTTTTTCATAGTTATGGTGTACATTTTGCCTTTATTTTTCACTTAATTTTATATTTTAAACATTTCCCACATTGCTTTCAACTTTAAAAAATAGTATATTTCTGGTGGGGCATGCGGTGGCTCACACCAGCACTTTGGGAGGCCAAGAAAGGAGGATTGTTTGAGCCCAGGAGTTCAAGACCAGCCTACATAGTGAGACGTCAGCTCTACAAAAAAATTTAAAAAATTTAGCTGTACATGATGGCACACACCTGTAGTCTAGCTACTCAGGAAGCTGAGTGAGGTGGGAGGATCGCTTGAGCCCAGGAGTTTGAGGCTACAGTGAGCCATGAAAGTGCCGCTGCACTCCAGCCTGGTCAACTCAGAAAAGGAAAAAGTATATATTTTTTATTTTTACTTGGGAATTAAAAAAAAAAGAAACTGTTTAGTATGTATTTAAGATGTCTGTAAGTTTTAAATTGTATTTGTGTGGGGGAAGAAAGAAGGGTTAGGTAAAAAGTCACCTGACTGGATATTTATCTTTGTGGCCATGCTATTTACTTCGTTTCCTAGTGTCACTCAAAGACCGT